TTTGAAACAATAGGATTCAAAATGGCCGCCGTATCGCCGAAAAGGTCCATTGAAAGAGGACGAATATTTTGACACTATCGTGTGATTCAAGTCGTCGTATTGTCTCGAGGAGGATTTTGTGGTAAAATTAATACTTTTTCGGCCTTATATCAATGTAATTATGATAGCTCACAACAAAATACACCAAAGTCTAATAATTTATAATATTGAGGACTATATTCATGCAATCAGTCACGTTCTTTCTTTAAAAACTGCTAGTTATCATTGACAAAGACATGTGCAAATGCCGTCATAAACAAATAAGATCGCAGGACATAAACACGTGACGGCAAGCGCACGGAAACCGTGGAAAGCACGGGAAAGAATCACGTTTACCTTTGATACGTGATTGGCTGAGGAAAACAGCCTCGTTTTGATTGGTTAGTGCTCATGTTGCACGATTCTTTTTAACCAATCATCAAACACTAGATACCCATGCAGTTACCGTAACAGGCATGCGCACAAACCGCTTCCTTACCCACCCAAATTCTTTAATTTTCTACAATATCCAGTCATCTTTTTATAATGTGGAGTAGTATTATAATTCTGACGCAGTAAGTCTATGATCTTTAACTTGCCCCGCTCATCACAGTAACATTGTCAGGGGCTTCTCTAAATAGTTTTTGAAGACCGCCAGCCATTGCGCCCCGACGGCACCGTCCACAACACGATGATCACAGCTCAGTGTGACCGACATTACTGTTCCGGTAGTGTACCTGTTTGACAAAACAAAACAAAAGAGAACAGAAAACATTACCAAACAACTTTTTAACAATTAGATTATGAGCTCCAGATTTCTATCACTCTTAGAAATCAAGAGCGAATAATCTAATTGCTTTGGTATGAATCTACTGGTCGTTCAAAAATTAGCAAATAAATCCTCTTTATGGACAATTCGAAAATGTACAGAAGCGGCCGCCATTTTGTTTACAACCGCACATTCCAAGGTTACTCACTATGTACCAAGCAATTAAATTATGAGCTCGAGATTTCTATCGCTTGATAGTTGACAAGGGCGCAGTCCGAGTCAACTTTTACGCATAGAAATCGAGAGCGAATAATGTAATTGTTTCAGTATAAATCTACTAGTCGTTCAAAACCTGATCTAAATCATCTTCACAGACACTTCGAAAATGTCAAGAAGCGGCCGTCATTTTGCTAACAAGCGCACACTGCTACGCTACTCACTATCTATCACGGAATAGCTAGTGCGTAACGTAGCCAATCAGAAAGCAGTATTCGTGATAGAACATTAGTAGATTTATACTAAAGCAGAATAGATAGTGAGTAGCGCAGCCAATCAGAGAACGCCATTCGTGATAGAATGCTAGTAGATTCATACTAAACCATGATACAACAGCTCTATCAAGCGAGTTGTGAATCAAAAGGTTATTTTTTGGCATTGGAAATACTCATCAAAATACGGGAAATCGCCTTGAATTGACCTTTCGAGAAAGTTAGGTGCACTTTACCGGAAAAGCGTGTCGCAACTGATCCACTTAATTCAATTGAAAAACTCGTACAACACTTTAACCAGTCAAAGAAAACTTCCTAAATTGTTAGACCAATCAAGACGAAAGGGTAACCATTCACTTAGTGTAACACCTGAACCACTTGGCATTTTGGACGCTATTGCTTGTTTCGAGTTTGATTAGACACATAGAGCGGTTTTCAATTACTTTTGTTTTGGTTTTGATTTTGGTTTTACTACGGTTTGAGATTGATCATCGCAGTTATTTACACAACTTAAGCAGCTGTAATTCAATTTCACAGCTGCTTAAGCTGTGAATGTTTTCATAACTTTCTCCGTAGTCCAAATATTTTTAAAATATATGATCCTTCATATATTCTATTGCATTCTTCATCATTCATCATTCATCATTCTTCATCTACGGGTGACTACTTCTCCCAGGTGGCTTGATAGCTCAGTTGGTAGAGCACTGCAACGGTATCGAAGTGGTCATGGGTTCGAGTCCAGGTCAGGCCTGAATTTTTTTCAGGCTTTAATTTCACAACTGCTTAAGTTGTGTTCATAAAGTTCTGCGACGATCATTAAATGTCTTCATATGATGGCTTTGATTTACGACATTTGCGCATTTTGGGTACAGAAAAAATATAATGCTATTCTATCATTTACCCCTTTTCACTATCTTCATCTACCAGAACTTGTTTCTCTGCCTTTCCAACAGCTAAAATACAAGCCTGTAAACAAGACAATTGTCAAAACAAGTTAAAATCCCAGTTTACTAAACCAAGCGTTTTTCATATCACATCTTGTTCAATATATTAGAATCTGAAGACTCTTACAAAGACTCCATTATCTCAAAAGTTAGAAAATACTCTCAGTAGCTATCAGCTTTGTTTCGCCTATCTTATCTTATCCATTTTTGTCTTATTTATCCACCTCTCATAACATACTGCATTACCAACTTCAATTAATTACATAGCTGTTTCTGTAGACTTAATATGTTTTCGTATTTACTTATTTTTATTTATCTGTAGTTTTCAGTGTGTATTTTCTTTTTCTTTCACTGATTATCCTCGCCCGCCTCAATTAGCACAGCTACCTGCAGAGCCAGGGGATTAAGGATTAATTGTGAAGTAATAAAAATATTGTTGTTGTTGTTGTTGTTACATATTGTTGTAATGTACATAAAATCAAAAGTATGCACAGAAGTGCGCTCAATTCGAGCTCCATTTGGTGTTTTAGGTGCAGTAAAATGTACTATTTATTTAGTATGACTTACTTGAGGAGGGTTAATAATGGCAGAGAAATTCTTGACACCAAACATTCCGAGATTTGATACTGTAATTGTTCCACCCTGGAATTCGTGTGGTTGAAGTTTATTATTTCTGGCCTTTTCAGCCAAAGCAT